CCTAACTCCTAAAAAAGAGGTTAATTTCCTCTTTGATTATTTTCCCTCTTTACTCTAGCTTTAATTTCTTTCGGTTCTCGACATAATACTTCTTAACTATATAATAACTGTTCCTCTTTAATTTTATTTATTAATTTTTTGTGCATCGTATCATTTATTGTTAATTCACTTTCATCTACACCTTTTTTTAGATTTTTGTATTTGATAAATGGTGGTGATTTTCTATTTCAGGGTGCAATGTATATAATATAGTTGGTGTTAAAAGTTATTAATTTTCTCGGTACTTCATAATGGTAGGGGAATTTATGACTCCATCATTTAATATCCTATGTGATCATGAACTTGAAGGGTTATATATGTTGTAAGAGTTTTGATAAAACACAAGAGAAAACTTGAAAACAAAAATATTTTCTTAAAAGTATTAGAAGAGAATTATTTTACAAAAGTAAAATATGTTTGAATATAAAAAGAAAATACAAGTAATATAAAATTATATAAAAAAACATAATAGAAGATTTTAACAAAAATCTAAGAAAAATTTCAGAGAAGATGTACCATATGGCCGGACGATTTCGACAAATAAAGAGGAGCGGGTGGCCCAACAATATAAATACTAAATTTCAAGTAAAGCAAATACGAAGGTCATCCAATCATGCATAAGTATGGGTCAGACAGGCGATCTCAGCAACAAATACTTCTCATGTCAAGTATCAAGGTTATAAGGCAAGTACTAATTAGTGTAATGGGTTGAGATTGAGCTATGATTAATGTTCCATTAATCTTAGGCTCATCTAAAAAACTATAAATAAAGGTCAAAGGTAAGAGGTACGTGTTAGCATTTATTGTGAATTTAAGACTTTACTCTGACCCCCGAACTGTTTATTGACTTAAGCATCAGAATACCTTTGGTAGGTACCCCTGACCAGTTTAGAGCACAGACGAAGGATAATTTGGACTAAGGATGGACACAACTACCCGAGTGGTTAAGGAGTGAAAGTTTGAAGGTGTGTTTTGTGGAGTTTCTCGACCCTATACCTGAAACATTTTGGCGTCCACCGTGGAGTTGAGTGATTGATTTAGAAGACCTAATGGTGAAAGGTCTCAACCTTGAGCTTACCCTTCAGTATGTACTATCGACCCTTAAATCGGGATCATTCACAAATAGCATTTGCCGACGACTCCCAAAAACAATGAAGGAGTTGAGAGAGTGGGCGACAGAGGACATAAGGGTCGAAGAGATGAGAGAGGCTCACAAGCTAATGGTTCATGATGTTGTAATCACAATTTTACCAAAACAACTTAAGAATATAAACTAGTTGGCACTGTAAAATCATCATTTCTTTTATTTTGTTTTCAAAACCCTTTTTCATAATTTATCAATTTTCTTATAAAAACATATTTAGATAAAAAAAACTTAAATATAATTAAAATAAAAGAGATGGTGTTACAATTATGCATAAGATAACATATTTTTTTAATGAAAATATTATACATAAAATATTATTTACATTGTAAATATCTGGATGTTATAATTCTCTCCTACTTACTCTCTAGATAGTTCATTTTTCCTGGTCTTACGATAATTATCATATAGTTGAAGGTATAAACAATGAGAATAGGGTAACTCACTAAATTAATTAAACCAAAATAATAAATAGATATGAAGTTATAAACACCTCACTTAATTAAATTAAACAAATCAAAAGAATAAATAAAAATAAGGTTATGAACATTTTACTATATAAATTAAATAAAAAGAATAATAAATATAAATAAAAATGAGAATATGACATTTCACTAAATAAATTAACTAAACAGAATAAAACGATAAATAGAAATTTGAATAAATAAAAAATATTATTCACACCTCACTAAGTAAATTAAATAACTAGATTAATAAATATAAATAAAATTGAGGTTATAAACACCTCACTAAATAAATTAAATAAATCAAATAAATTAAAACAAAATATTTTGATTATAAACACCTCACTAAATAAATTAAATAAACAAAATAATAAATATAAATAAAAATTTGAATACGGCACATAATTTAAATAAGTAAACATAATGAAATGAAATATATAATAATGATAAATGTCTAGCTTCACAATGAATAACTTTTCCAAGTAAACTCTAATTCTCAATTGATTAAATAATTTCTCCAAATTATTTTAAAATATTTTTCGATAGCTTTTCTTTTAAATTAGAAAGAAAATGAAGATGAAGAAGAAGGAGAGAAAGATGGACGGATGCAACTACTAAAACTCACCCTATTTCATGTTTTCCCTTAACATTTTATAGAAAATTTATATTTATTATTATTATTATTTTAATATTATTTTGTTTTTATACATTCACAAACATATAATACTAAAATCATCATTTACTATTTAAATATTATAATACTTGGGAGAAGTATTGTTCCTTGTTCCAAATGCGAAAATTACATTTCTTACTACAGATTTCAAAATGAAATACTATGTCTTAAAAACTCTTAATAAAGTTTCCAACCCGATTTCTTATTACAGACTTTGAAAAAAAAATTTACTAAGGTAACATAGAAATAAACAATATGAAGAGACCTAATTTTTNACCTCGCCTAACAGGATTACCAAAAGAAAGAAAAAGCAGATAAAAGAAAGAACAGTATAACATAACAAGAAATTAATAGTGCTTTACTGGCGTCAAGGTGCAAAGACAAGCAACCCTTCTTACTAAAGGAACAGTAAATCACCACCAATACAACCATGGCGAATTTTTTTGACGTAAAAGATATTGATAACGAGCTAAAGAATTGTTAGAGTAAATTATATTATCTGATAGAAAGATGTGACCAAAATCTTGTTCCTAAGGCAAAATGAGGACCACCACCTGCTCAAGAGCCATGCATAAATTGTGTAAAGGCGGGCAACAAAGCAGTCCATGTTACCTAGAAGGTTAATGGTGACCCACCATGCTCTGTTTCCAAAATCATCCACCTATTATAATTGATTGGGTAAACCCATAAAGACAGTTCTTTAGTCTCCCAAGTGTTCAGACATACCTTCATCTCTAAATGTCAAATGCAATGGACCCTCACTCATTCACGTTGCTACCTGGCTGATGTTTGATGTCAGTAGGACGTGGTTATTTGCCTACTTTATTGAATCAGCATTACCAAACTTATCAGGCAGCCACATCAAGAGGAAACTTACTTAGAAAATAAGGAAAGAATAGAGAAACAACGTCACCCCATCTTGGTTGGGACACAATCCATCAGGCAAAAGTGATTCGCCATATTTTTAGTCTCTAACCATAGTAAACTTATTTCCTGCGCTCTGGCGTCTTGGTCTTATATGACAACTCATAGGAGGCAGATGCCCACTAACTTTCTTCTGTTGCCAGGCACAACCGTTTAGCCATAATAAAAAGATCAATAATTAATTCGAAGAGCCTATCATATATCAACGCAAAGTCCTAAAGTAACATTAATTATATTTTGATAAAGCATACTGTATATATGTATAATAGCTCTACCTACCAATTGGATTTGAGGTGTAGCACCCGATTTGTTGCACATATAAATAACTCTTTGATATGTGTAGTACAACTAGGAATCCAAGAAGCACTGACAATATCTGCACATCTCTATTTCAAAAGCAGAACGCTCTTGATGAATAAACTGTACCTGATAGAAAACCTTACAGACACGGAGAATCAACCACCTCTTAAAATTAGAGAAAACTTAATTATACTTCAACTTTGGACAAAATATATATAAAAGAAGGGCAGAGGGAAGAAAGAAAAAGTAAGAATTTAAAGAAGTTACTGGATGTAATGGAGAAAAGTAAAATGAAGAAAAATCTGTCCAAAATGTGGTTAAAATTGTGTTGCATGAAAGTGAGAATAATATAATTTCACTTTTAAAATTGCGTTGCATGAAAGTAAGAATAATATAATTTCACTTTTAAAATTTTGTTGCATGAAAGTAAGAATAATATAATTTCACTTTTAAAATTGTGCAGAAAACATAAATTCTCCTTGTAGTATCCTTTTTTTTACTATGCAATGTGATAGTCCAAACTACAGTTATGTTTAGGATTCACATTAGAAGGCATAGAACTTTTCCTCAATGATTAACTCTGTAGACAGAGATAGCTACTAACAGATGGCCATGATGCATCCAAATGATGAAGTATCACACATAATTGCCCGTTCCATCACTCTATCTCCACAGATATCATAATCTAGTCAGGACATTCCGCTTTTAAAAAATTCACACTTTTGTTGTTTACTCATTATTCATCAAGAAAGCGAGCGAGTCAGATCATAAGTTGGGGGAATTTGTTTCATTACAGAGGCAAGAAAAAAAGAAAAACAGGAAGGCATACGTGTTTTTTTTTACAGCCTCATAATAATAGGTTGTCAGGACAAGTAGAACAGAGACCTAACACATATATACAGACCAAAGGAAATGCCAATGCAACAGCTCAGTTTTTGAGTCACAAAAAAATATATATATAATTTTGATAGTATTGAAAGAGCAACAGTGATGCAGACACGTGAGAGATACAGACGAATCTTTCTCATCCTATCTCAGACCCGATAACAAGGCAACAAATAACTACAGGACCTGTTGAAGACGCCATCTCTGGTGGTTTTGTGGTGTTTGGGGAGCTTAGCAATATTCGATGCTCACAAATACTTCAACGATGATGGTAGCAGCAAACACCACCAATACATTCAAAAGGTTAACATCAGCAGAGTCTCTCACCATGGAGCGAATTCCAGAGAGAGGTGATGTCATCGCCACAGAAACCACCAGATACTCCTCTGCTCATCACTGTGGACGCCTACGCCCACTCCAGAAACACAGAGCACGCTCATTCCACGGGCACACTCCAAAAAACGGCTTCCTCAGAACCAGCTGAACAGCCAAACGGGGCTGCTGTCTCCACCACTCCAGGCTGCAATCCCTGGCTCAATGCAAAACCCTAAAGCCTTCGAAACCCCAAACACTCCAAATCCATTTGGCTCCTTAGGAGAAAATGTCCTTGCACGGGGGAAAAATCAGTTCAAATCAAAGATCAGCCCAAGATCCAACATCTCAGATATCACAACAAGAAAGAAATTACGAACATACACAACGTGCTAATCACATCACACCAAATAAGTGGATTCTGAATGAAACACCAGCATCGCTACCGGTACCGGTAACAGCAACAATTGCGGCAGCGAAATCGCAACGGTTTCACAATTCCAACTCTCATAGAGTTACGAGCTCAGTGAGAGTACCGTTCACCGAGGGATTCACTTTCCCCGTGCTAAACCCTAACAATCCAATACAAAACTAAAAGTCGCAAAACAGTCGCAGAGGAAGATCCGCCCCGCGACTCGTTAGAGGGTGTTCCGGCCCCCAGACGAGGCATCGCCGAAGCCGCTGAACTTCTCGTTCCCAGCTAAGGCACGCGTCGTCGAAGACGACGCCGCGAGCGACGCGAGCTCCGATCTCTTCGAGATCGAGAGCTTCTCGACCGCGACACACAGTCAACGTTCCCCGCGCGTACCGTCGCAACAGCCGAGACTCGTTTCGACGAGCTCGGGCTCCACTTCAACCACGGCGTTCTTCTTCGGTCGAAGAAGCGTAGACGAGGGCTCCACGACGCCGACTATAACGGAGTGCTACGAGCCGAGCGAGGCGAGCATCGAGTGGAGCGTGACGACGGCGGAGGGACACGACGAGGCGGTTCCGGGCGTGGAGGAGAAATGGAAGCGTAAAGGAGGAAACGGTTTGTTGGTGAGCTGTCGGTGCGAGAAGGCGGTTAGCGTGGGGCCGCAGCCGGTGAAATGTGGATCAGAGGGACAGAGAGGTGCCACGTCACCATCAGCATCACATGTGAACGCTATCGCGAGTGGGGGTACAGTAGTAAGATTGGGAGTGTAAATAAGCCACCACTTGCCAGGGCTCACCGCAACGCACCTCGCGTGTCGCTTGCTTTCGCGACATAGCCATTTGCGCGCATGCATGCATCTTACGCTTTTCTATTTTTATTTTTCATTTTTTATTTTTTATTTTTCTTCTCCTCGCCTCGCCTGAAGAATCAACAGGACCCCAGAATAACGTAATCACCCGCTTTTCCGTTTTGTCCTGTTTCTTCCTCCGTTTTCTAATTATTGTGTCGCCTTTGTCTTTCTGTTTCTGTATCCGTTCTTTGAGTGATAGGAATAACAGGATGCATGTAATGGCATGAGATATATTACGTCGTTGTTGTAACAGGAGCCAGCAACGAATCATCATACTCTCCTTCTCTTTGAAATAAATGGCGCTGTTAACTCCACTAATCACATTGCTACAACTACAATTAACCTCCTCATGAGTGATTAACTAATTAAAGAACAATAAATTGTGCTTTCTTTTCTTTTTGCATGCATAACGGTGCAAGTACAAGTACGTAATATGCTTGGTTCTTATATTATTATCGGGTATATATACAAAATCACAATAGTGCCAAACTCATCGGTTAACCCATGTAAGCTTCTTTATGTATTGGCTGACGAGTTGGTAGTTTACCAAAAACTCATAATTAAAACTGTTTCCGTAATGATAGTCGTACATTAAATTTTTTAAACAAACATATTTAAATTATGCGTTTCGGACACTGATACATTGATAACTCTTTTTTCCCAAACAAGACATGTGGAATTAAATTTAATTTTTTTGTTAAGTTAACTGTTTTTTTTTAAAATTTGTTTTGTTTGCTAAGATAAATCTCTCCTTTTATGATTTTCTATGATTCCTTTCACTGTGTTCTCTTTGAAGAGACAATTATTTTCATTTTATTCTTGAGTCGTTGACCCACCGACATTATCTTGATTAATTAGGTTTAGGATTTTGGTCTTGCTCCTTAATAGTCATGGATATGTGTAGGAAGAACTTGTTTTCTTTTGTGGTGATTAAGTTTGTCTTTTCCCTTACTTGTGTCTCGTCTTTTTGTCTTCTTTGTGTTTGATAAGTTTTTTATCTCTAACACAACTTTACATTCATAATCCTAACTCCTAAAAAAGAGGTTAATTTCCTCTTTGATTATTTTCCCTCTTTACTCTAGCTTTAATTTCTTTCGGTTCTCGACATAATACTTCTTAACTATATAATAACTGTTCCTCTTTAATTTTATTTATTAATTTTTTGTGCATCGTATCATTTATTGTTAATTCACTTTCATCTACACCTTTTTTTAGATTTTTGTATTTGATAAATGGTGGTGATTTTCTATTTCAGGGTGCAATGTATATAATATAGTTGGTGTTAAAAGTTATTAATTTTCTCGGTACTTCATAATGGTAGGGGAATTTATGACTCCATCATTTAATATCCTATGTGATCATGAACTTGAAGGGTTATATATGTTGTAAGAGTTTTGATAAAACACAAGAGAAAACTTGAAAACAAAAATATTTTCTTAAAAGTATTAGAAGAGAATTATTTTACAAAAGTAAAATATGTTTGAATATAAAAAGAAAATACAAGTAATATAAAATTATATAAAAAAACATAATAGAAGATTTTAACAAAAATCTAAGAAAAATTTCAGAGAAGATGTACCATATGGCCGGACGATTTCGACAAATAAAGAGGAGCGGGTGGCCCAACAATATAAATACTAAATTTCAAGTAAAGCAAATACGAAGGTCATCCAATCATGCATAAGTATGGGTCAGACAGGCGATCTCAGCAACAAATACTTCTCATGTCAAGTATCAAGGTTATAAGGCAAGTACTAATTAGTGTAATGGGTTGAGATTGAGCTATGATTAATGTTCCATTAATCTTAGGCTCATCTAAAAAACTATAAATAAAGGTCAAAGGTAAGAGGTACGTGTTAGCATTTATTGTGAATTTAAGACTTTACTCTGACCCCCGAACTGTTTATTGACTTAAGCATCAGAATACCTTTGGTAGGTACCCCTGACCAGTTTAGAGCACAGACGAAGGATAATTTGGACTAAGGATGGACACAACTACCCGAGTGGTTAAGGAGTGAAAGTTTGAAGGTGTGTTTTGTGGAGTTTCTCGACCCTATACCTGAAACATTTTGGCGTCCACCGTGGAGTTGAGTGATTGATTTAGAAGACCTAATGGTGAAAGGTCTCAACCTTGAGCTTACCCTTCAGTATGTACTATCGACCCTTAAATCGGGATCATTCACAAATAGCATTTGCCGACGACTCCCAAAAACAATGAAGGAGTTGAGAGAGTGGGCGACAGAGGACATAAGGGTCGAAGAGATGAGAGAGGCTCACAAGCTAATGGTTCATGATGTTGTAATCACAATTTTACCAAAACAACTTAAGAATATAAACTAGTTGGCACTGTAAAATCATCATTTCTTTTATTTTGTTTTCAAAACCCTTTTTCATAATTTATCAATTTTCTTATAAAAACATATTTAGATAAAAAAAACTTAAATATAATTAAAATAAAAGAGATGGTGTTACAATTATGCATAAGATAACATATTTTTTTAATGAAAATATTATACATAAAATATTATTTACATTGTAAATATCTGGATGTTATAATTCTCTCCTACTTACTCTCTAGATAGTTCATTTTTCCTGGTCTTACGATAATTATCATATAGTTGAAGGTATAAACAATGAGAATAGGGTAACTCACTAAATTAATTAAACCAAAATAATAAATAGATATGAAGTTATAAACACCTCACTTAATTAAATTAAACAAATCAAAAGAATAAATAAAAATAAGGTTATGAACATTTTACTATATAAATTAAATAAAAAGAATAATAAATATAAATAAAAATGAGAATATGACATTTCACTAAATAAATTAACTAAACAGAATAAAACGATAAATAGAAATTTGAATAAATAAAAAATATTATTCACACCTCACTAAGTAAATTAAATAACTAGATTAATAAATATAAATAAAATTGAGGTTATAAACACCTCACTAAATAAATTAAATAAATCAAATAAATTAAAACAAAATATTTTGATTATAAACACCTCACTAAATAAATTAAATAAACAAAATAATAAATATAAATAAAAATTTGAATACGGCACATAATTTAAATAAGTAAACATAATGAAATGAAATATATAATAATGATAAATGTCTAGCTTCACAATGAATAACTTTTCCAAGTAAACTCTAATTCTCAATTGATTAAATAATTTCTCCAAATTATTTTAAAATATTTTTCGATAGCTTTTCTTTTAAATTAGAAAGAAAATGAAGATGAAGAAGAAGGAGAGAAAGATGGACGGATGCAACTACTAAAACTCACCCTATTTCATGTTTTCCCTTAACATTTTATAGAAAATTTATATTTATTATTATTATTATTTTAATATTATTTTGTTTTTATACATTCACAAACATATAATACTAAAATCATCATTTACTATTTAAATATTATAATACTTGGGAGAAGTATTGTTCCTTGTTCCAAATGCGAAAATTACATTTCTTACTACAGATTTCAAAATGAAATACTATGTCTTAAAAACTCTTAATAAAGTTTCCAACCCGATTTCTTATTACAGACTTTGAAAAAAAAATTTACTAAGGTAACATAGAAATAAACAATATGAAGAGACCTAATTTTTATAATAAAATGTGGAAATTATTTATTTTGGAATTTATCTTTAAATTTGATCGATTATAGTGAAAAACTATATTTCAATAATACTTTGTAAAAATTAGAGTTTAATATAATGATTCATGAAGTTGTGATCAAAATGTTATCGAAATAACATAAGGAAAAAAATTAGTTGAAACCTCAAATCATCCTTTATTTTTATTTGTTTTATCAAAGCTCTTTTTCACAATTTACCAATTTATTTATAAAAACATATTTAAATAAGAAATTTAAATATAGTTAAAAAAAAGTGAGGAGTTACAGTTATACATAAGATAACATTTTTTTAATGAAAATATTATACAAAAGATATCATTTACATTACAAATATCGAGATGTTACAGAAACTAATATAAAAATATTGTGTGTTTAGTTTATGTTTTTTCCATTTCATTGGGATAGGTTGATATTATCAAGAAAAAAAAATTGCATGATCTATTATAATAATTTGTATAATAACATAAAATAATGCATATGTTATTATTTGTAATTGATTATGATTTGTTAAATTGATTAAATTCGAAATCTGATTAAGTGATTTTTTTTGAATTCTTTGTTAGAATTTCACTAAGTTAATTATGTTTTTCAATCAATTAAAATGTATGATTCAGAAATCATGTTTTGGTAAAATCCTTAGTCAATCTGAATTAACAAAAGGAAACTTTCAAAGTAAACATTTTTTTAAAGGGTCAATTCAACACCTTTCTTTTTCTTGGCTGAGTACTCGTTTTAGTGATCACACAAACGACATTTCTCGTTAACAATGTATTTATTGTTGTCTTACACCTATCTTAATGTCATGTCATTATTGTATTCTTATAAAAAAAGGGGTTCATAATTAGATTGTATGGGGTTGGGCAATTAGTCAACAGCATAAGACATTAGACATGTGCGTGAAGCTTCACAAAATTATGGAAATGCCAAGATGTACTCCCATGTGTATTCATTTAACGATTGGAAAAAGATATTGTTCACAAACACATATGCGGATTAAAAATTGAGGTAAATGATAAGTATTAGCATCATACATTCAATGACAAGTGTATCCATTACGCAATAATAGATAATAAATAATTATTGTTTTCTGGAAGGAATGCTGCAATCCATATATAATTGATAACAAATTTTGGACAAAAACAAATTATTGTTAAGTAGCACGATAGGCTGATTCAGTGTTATTTATTAACCTAAAGTGATTATATAATATTTTAATATATATTTCTTAGCGTAAATATTCACATATTAACATAATATATAACCAAATATTGATAGTTTGATTACATTATGATATTCTTTAATATCATATATTTACAAATATTTGGATAATCAGGTAAGATATCACATTATTATGATTATTCTATTGACTATCATATATACATCAATAGTTTGATTATTTTTATTTATATTATTTGATATAATTTTGATATTATATGTCTTATCGCATAAGTCATACGGTCCAAAAACTCTATAAATAATACACATGATATTTCACTAGAAAATATACAATTACTCATACTCATTTTTTTCTATTCATAAGATCCAAACTGTTCAAGATCTAGTAAGAACACATATGCAAAAACAAATACCAATCCTTGTGCGATTTTCTCAAACACTTGGAATGCATAATAGATAAAGAATGATATGATATATTATTGTTAGGGTTAAACTTCACTAAACCTCATTCTCA